TCTACGTAGATATGTAAATGGGAACACCTGACTAGCTCAAGCGAATCGCTGTTGTCGGCCGTAAATCAGACAACATTCACAGCCAAGCTCACCGGTAGTCTTCACATTACTCATGAAAATCTACAAGAACGCTTTTTGCGTTTTGCAGTCAAATTACTGGAATAGTTCGAGTTTCTATATGAAGTGCCCGTGTAGACCGTTTGACAAACAATGTAGCTAATATAGGTTAATCTGCACACAGATCCGTTTTGTAAGCCGAACANGAAACATCAAGAACGCTTTGTGTAGACTCGGAAGAGTAAGTAATTTTCTGTGAATCTGAAATCTGATCCCAGTTTGTGCTCCCTTTTGAGAGTGGAGAGAAAACTTGTTTTTGTTGTTTTCACCTATTGCTCATTTTCTCTTAAATTCGATACTTTTGGATTTAAAACCTTCTGCTAGTCATTATTGGGCGGATGCTCAGTTAGAACGACCCACTGACATTTTCAGAGTTGAGGGCCGAAATCACAACAGTCCTTTTTGTAATCCAGTGATTTAAATAGCGCGCATAAGGACATACGCATGAAAGTCTCTTTGGGCTGGTCAACAAAACAGCTGCTAGATTATGCGATGCCACGCTTAGCCCCTTCTCGACTACAATGGCTCACTAAAAGAGACAGGTTGACTAATTGATTGCGTAATTTAACTGTCAAGCACGTTTTTGTATTTGCTTGAAGCTTGTCTCTGAAGCATAACATTTAGCGTTGGGTTGATTGGAACATGACACTGCGCTTAGTCCCGCAACAAATACTCATTTCTTATCAACGCCTTTCACACAGTCTTTCACGACCCCATCACATTAACGATCTCTATGTGGACGTTTGCAAACACTATGTTTAGGAATTCAGATAAAGATATATAAGAGTTCCGTTTAGGGTGCGCTACCTTTGCTATCGTAACTTCATACATGTTACCAAATAATTAAATACAATAAGCTGAAACGTTGGATCATTTTTTATCCATTTCGCGAAAACAGAGAGGAGAGAAATACGACGAGATGCTAACATTTATTTTATTCTCCTCAATCACCTAAATACCAAACAATCTGCTATTGTACAAGGTTGTTCTGGTAAGTGCGAACACAGTCAGCTTAGATGAAACCACTTCCAGAGTCTGTCCGACATTAATCTGACTTCCATTTCGCCTGTTCGCCGAGCTTGGCAATTTGTTTGCAAACGTTTCATCACCAGCCGAGGTGACATCATCAGTGCTTGTGAAGTGGCCTGACTGACTGACTGCACTCGCAGCAATTTGCATACAAAAACATAAAACCCGTAACGCCATTTGCATCGCTTTTTTAAATCCCAAGAGACCGGGATTCATATTATGGATAATAAATTTATTAGAAAAATATTGCAATTGGTTGTCATGAAATGTTTTACGATTGATGGCCCCATATTTATCTCGTCAGATTGAACTCAGAGGGTTTATTGTGTCACCGACTGTATAACCACTTGGAAATATGTTTGCACATCTCTTTTGACGGGGGTAGATTGTTCTGCTGATTTAAGCGCCACTGCAACCGCATATGAGCTGGTAGACGGCATATTGGCGGTAGGTTCTATTTGTGGTTGTCCAGATGAGGTTTGTGGGAATACGGTGTCAGTCGAAGCCATGCGTCAGAAAATATTAGCCATCATGCCACATTGAGCTTCTGACGCACGTCGTTACTTAGATGGTGGAACAGTGTAATGGATACAGTCAGCTTTTTGGGGGAAATCAATTCGAGAGTCAGGCCTGTGGTAGTTTGATTGTCATAAATTCGTTCCTGAGTTTGGTGGGACCAGTGATCTTCGTACGTTCGACATTTATCTTTTCACGGATTTAGTAATTAGCCTTCCAATAAATTTGGCTGACTTTTTCGCACTCATGAAGATTAGTTTTCTTTATATATATATATATATATATATGTTTAACGATTTGAAGGTCAAATGAGGATTTCCAATATGATAGTGCTTTCTTTATCTGATTGTACCAATACCGAGTTATCATTCATTTTGAATCGACCGCATCGGGCTCCTTGTAAAGTGATACCTGAGCCCAATAGGTGGACATCGGTATTATATTTCCTTCCATTTAAGAGTTCCTTTCCGCTGCATGTCAGTGTCACCTAATATTCATTATATATTGCAAGTTTCATACAGTTTTATAAACTCAATTATACATAGGCTTGGGTTCCATTGAACTCAATATCGTTTCTCGGTTGTTAAAGAGTGAACCACTGAAAGTTTCATCAATGCTGCCTTTAAATGCATAGTCGAGCCAAATGATCGTAACATGAACCGGGTTAGCGCAATGGCTCTTGTTGCTCCTGCAGATGTTGATCGTGACTTGAGACGATAAATATAACAATTCAGATTGCTATGAGAGTGTTTCGCTTGCTGTCATGAGGACGCGTCCTGCTGCTATTTTCAAGCACGGAAGGTAGATTTTAGTAAGCGTCTAATTACTGTCATATGTGCAAAGATCATCCTATATTCAGATCCACTCGTAACCCGTAAGGCATTTCGATATTTACCAATCATTTCATCTTACAAAGCTCATGATTTTAAATAGTGATTGAAATGTACAGAGGTTAAAAATGCGCTTGTTGGCTTCAATTGTTTACTCTGTTATCCAGAATTTTTGTCATCTAGTTCACTTACTTTTGACATATAAATTTTGGACGTGGCGACTCCCATCACGAATATCCCTAGTTCACCTTGAGTGAGATCCGCTGTGTATATTCTCTCCTTCAAACTTAGTAAGGGGATTCCCTAGCCCGTTGAGATCGACCTTCAGATCACCCAAGGTCACGGAGTATTGACGGGAAATACAACTTATAGAACTGCGTTTTTCGCTAACGGATAACACACCTCTGGTTGAATGTGATACGATACAGTTTCTCAGATCATAATTATTCGTACAAAAATACTTCTGTAGATGTGGTTCTTAAGGCCAGGTCTTACATTTATTTACAATTTCGGAAGTATTAGTGGATTGTTTGCAAGCTGCCATTAAATGATTGCAATCCGGATACTCATGTGTGTTAAATAAGTTAGTAAATTTCTGTAATGATTGTAGCAGTATTAATAATTCGCATGGAATTCGGAACACCAGCCACGCAATATGAATTACAGGACCCGAATCGATAACCAGCTATCACGGACTGAATCGCAGAAGCACTGGGCCACACTGGCATGGATTCGCAATGTCCCACGAGAACGAGACGCCAGGAAAAGGCCACAGGACAGGCAGTAAAGAAAGTCTATTCCGTGATATGCGTTCCACAGTTCCCAACCAAGACAGCCACAGATGTCAAACATCTGAGTAACTGTACGACGGCGAATACCTGACATAATCCGTTAAACATGGGTATCGACTGGTCAGTATTTGCACCAAATATGAGAAATGTAGCGAAGACAATGTTGTTCCAATTGAAGTCTGTTTTACCTGCATCTCATACTAGTCATCTCCCTGTAATCCATGATATCGCAATCCAAATTTCTGAAACATACACTGGACTCTTCAATGACAGCAGTATATCAAAAGTGTACGATGCCACTGCAAGTTGATAAGAGGCAATCAAACCTAGGCGCTTGCCAACACGTCATCTACTAGCAGAGACACTGTTCCTCGAGTGGAAGCAGTTTCAGAAAGAGGTGCAAAATTCACACTCCCCCGGATAATTTGTAATANCATATAACAAAAAGTGAACGGCTGATCCGAATCACGACACAGTCTCGTCCATTCATTTGTTGCCACAAGCGCATTTCACATCTATCTGAACAATCGCATTATCATGATTTATCCGTGACTGTTCCTAGGTTCACCATTCTTACTCTGACGTAGCAAACGTATGAATTTTGCTCTGTTCTTCCTATTCACAAAGCTGTCAAAACTCCAGGTTGTAAAACCGAAATTGTGAGTGATGCTTTGGAAATGTTCAGCTACTATGTTCCATCAAAACTGAATTGGAAGAAACAGTCTATTTTATCCCAATAGAACGCAGACCGACTCAACAATTGTAGGTTTTGGTGAATTCCTAATTGGGAAACAGAGATCACTCATTCCCATCAGGCATTGGCAAATGCTAAAAAGTATCTGAAGGTATACCACGATTGTGAACTGCTTGCCTTGATGCGAGAAATCGTCGTTACTCTAGCAAACCAAACTGCCAAAATTACATTTCCGATATGTCACAAATTGCTTTCCATAACTACCGGACCGAACTAAAATTGTGTGTGAAAGTGGGTTAAGCCAACAGCCAAGCAGAGTGTAAAGGAAGTTCAATGTTGATGCAGATGAAGACTTTATTAAAACTTAGGAACTAGTTATTTAAATAATCAAAACACCGCAATAACACAGTTATCGGGTTACAACAATGAACGGAGTCGGAGCTAACAACAGGAAAATCTATGAAATGTTATCCAGAAGGAAAATGAGGAACAGCAGAATTGCGACGGATTGGATGAATTGAATTCACTACGGGAATAAGAAGGAAGCTTGGAGAAAATTAAAAAAATAAACAAAAAGATATGATATTCATCAGGGACGAGACACAGTAAGATGAGGAAACGAATGCAAAGCAGGAGAACTGAATGATGCAAACACAAAACTCACCACGTTGAACCTTGGCAACGAAATCCGTCGTTTACGGTTCCGTCGAACTGGCGTAATATTGGATGACAAGATTGAAACCCTCAATGGTTTGATCCACTGGAGTATAAGGCGAGCAAAGGTTATCCACAGATGCCAGCGATTCCTCGTCTTTTGCGACCTTCACATAGTCCTTGTCATATGTCCCGGAGCCATCTCCGAACTGAAATGAACAAACAATGACAGTCGTCAAGATGATATTTGAAAATCGCCTCGATGAAATACATTGTGAGATTAACTCGATCAGTACAAATTATCATCGTGTTCCAATTCATCGCTCAAGAAAATCACGGTATTTCGCTGGCGCATATTGCAACGTTCATGATAGGATCGGTGGTGACAGAAATATATCGCTTACACCGCGCTCACAGCTCGATCGTAAGATGCTTCTTATTGCAGTTTGCTCAATCACATTCGGACTAATTAGTCCAAAATTGAGGATGTGAGCACTGTGTGTACTTAATAACTGACCTTAAGTTCTGAGAATTTGAGGAGAAGATTGTATTCAGTCCCATCGGTTTTGACGTTGATCAAGCATTCCTTGTCCTTTGTCATGCTCCCGTCCTTGACAGTAATCGTTTTCGGTTGATCATCAGATAGTGTGACTTCATCCGAGCTTGTACCTGGTGTCGGATCGTCCTGTTGAACTGAAACCGAAGTTTATATGAGGTAATCAAATTTTGGTCTATTTCGTTTATGACGTAAATAGGAAAGGTTTTCAGGAATGAGTTCGCGGGATTGTACATACTTAATTGTGGTGAAAAATATGAAACCAAGAAAACATAACTTAAGAGCAATTATTTACTCGCAAAGGATTGCGCGGTTATCCCGCTTGTGACCGAAGACAAATAGCAAGTATTTCTGCATGGCTACTCAAGAGAGACGCAAGTAAACCACATCGGATGAACTGTTGAATATGCAAGGTTTGAGTAGGTCATCGACCCAAAGTACTGCATACTGACGCAACAGCTTAGCTGGAAGTAACTGAAATTCATTCCCTTCAATTCATTTACATAACAGTGCGTATGAAATATCGTTGCAAAACAAAAGCATCAAGGTGGTGCGTGCTAGAAGCGCTGAGCAAAAGGGCAAATATTTGCGAGCAGAATTGATGTTACTACTCATCTTAAAACTGTACTGTGATCTCGTCGTGACCACAGGATAAGAAACAAATACAGTGTCGTGACTGTGAGTGCGTACGTGTGGCTTTCATAGAGAAGTTGTGACGTGCATAGTTCCGTTAATGACGGATCAGGTGCACGAATTATAATTAATTTGTCTAAGAATATCCCAAATAAACGATCATATTCAACCACCGGGAAGAAATCACGAAACATTCTACCCACAAACCGGATCCAAGTACTGTTTCGTCCGACCTGATTCACACAGCTCAAAATCCAACTGGTTTGCGTAGGCAGAGTTATCATGTCATCGAATGCGTTTTCATAAATCGAATAAATATTTTCATCCGAATTCGTGGCTGGCCGATCATTCAATAAGTATATTTGCGAAACCTCTACTCACTAAATCATTGGGTGCTTCTTTCTAGCAGACACTTCGTGACAAATTTCCTACTGAAAAGATTCACTATCAGGGCCACTCGATGAATCAACTAATGTGTTTGCTGATGTTGAACGACATTGTGGTCCATGTATTCACGGGTTTGAACGTAGATCGAGTGAGTTTTTGAAGGAATCATTTCAGTGACAAATTAGCTTGATGCACAGCTAATCTCCAAAGAGCCTGACCGTTTCCTTAGCACTAAGAAACAGAGACATTCCACATCAGTGATTCTACCAACAGGAGTTGAGCACCAATAAAATTCGTCTATTGTCCGTATGAACTAGCACTAAGGTCCTCAGTTGATACATCCCTGATAAAATTCATTTGCCGCAGCAACAGTTACCTTTCCTCACTAATGAGTGATTATGTACCTTATTTAGAAATACCGTAACGCATCAAACAATTGGTAATAAATTATACAAAGTATGGCTGTTAAAATAGTAATAACCCGCAGATCGAAGCAAGTTGACTGCGTTTTCAATTTGCTGGCACCTTTGACTATACGCCGCGAAATCCTCTTGATAGAACAACCGGCTCCTGTAAGTAACGCAGATCTGTCGGGATATGGGATCTGTGTTGAAGAAGTTCCATGGCTCATAGGATAGCTCACCTCGGATTTCGAAGAGTTAGACGGTCAAATCGCGAATGTTACTGTACTAAACTCAACACCACCTACATTTATATGTGCACGGGAAAAACACGGTAGAATGTTTGAAGGTGCTGAAGTTACTTAAATCCAACAACTCACGTCACTCTGATTTACTATCCTCCATTCTGTTGAAATTGTGTGCCGAACAACTTGCCTTGCCTACTTCCCAGTTGTTCAGTTTGTGTATATCACCTGAAGTCATCCCAGATTGCAGGAGAATTACCCAAGTTACACCAATTCCTAAAAGGAGTCTAACATATACCGGTCGATTGTTTGCGTGTCAGCACCGTCGATGGTTTTCAAAAGCTTGTTTTTTAACCAAGGAATTATCTATTTTGTTGTCCATACACCTATTCAATCTGCTAACAAACCGTCACCTTTCGCTATTGATTCTCTGTTGCCCACGTCGTTCACAGTATTTCATCTTCATTGTACACAGGTTCCGGCATCATCCGTTCATTTTTTCTTCATTTTACCAATGCTTCTGCATCACTTGGCAATGGTGACCTCATTTACTAACTTTTGCATTGTGGTCTAGTACCTGATGTGTTGAATGCAGTGATCAGCTGCTTCTCATTAAAGAGAAAACTCAGCCTTTGTTAAGGTAAATCTTTCTACGTACTAGAGGTTAACCAGAGGGTGCTATTTCGTTGCCATTATTTTTCGCTATACAGAAACAACCTTCCCATCCGTCCCTTTGTTATTGCGTGCAAGTGTGTTGATGGTGTGTTGTTTGGTTATCCCTGGAGTAATCCTGACACATTTTGTCAACTTGAGGACCGTCTAACACAAAGTTTTATTTTGTCTGTGGCTAGATATTTGATGCTCAATGTCGATGAATGTATAGAGGTTTCTTTTAACCCTAAAACAGGCCCTCAACATAAAACTCGTTCTAGACATTAGCTTGAGTTTACTGTTTTCAGTGGAGGCTGACGGCGGCCTTTGAATTGGGCCAGCTCTTTCATGGCATCGCTCGAACTTTGGCTTTTCCACCCACACAACCTTCGAAAATAACTTCGTGTAGACTACTGAGACCCTGAGGATTCCTTAAAACGCGCTGAGTTTAATTTCCCATACAAGTATCCATGTAAAATATTAACCAATTATTCTAACCTGATTTTAATCGTTTTGTAAGAAATGATTTAAACAAGAGCATCGGAAATGCAATTGGTAAAAGGAGAAAACGTCGTGCTGGCGCGATGTTAGTCTCACTCGATTGCTTCATCATCAATACTTCTTAAGACATATCAGTGAATCATTATTGCATTTAATCTCTTCTCTTGATTTGTGTGATTCCACTCAGTTTGCTTATTGTAGGCATCGCTGTACTATAGGTGCCGTTGCTTGTCTTATATATTCAGTTTTATCCACTATAGAGAAAAAGATCACAAAACTATTCGTGTTTGCTTTTTGCACTACACAAACGCGTTCAACTCCGTTGAAAGGAACACCTTCGAATAAACAAAATCCACCACAAAATGTAATTCATTCTGGCAAATGTACTGATAGCGATTGAATTAAGGTTCAACACTATTGGTATCATTCAATATGAATGTCATTAGAGAGCGGTGGTGAGATTCAAACACCTGTCGTTCGGGGTGACACATTGGTGACCGTGACTGCTTTCCCAACTCTGCCCATTACTATTGTTGTGTTCGATCTGCAGGTTATTACTATTTTAACAGCCATACTTTGTATAATTTATTACCAATTGTTTGATGCGTTACGGTATTTCTAAATAAGGTACATAATCACTCATTAGTGAGGAAAGGTAACTGTTGCTGCGGCAAATGAATTTTATCAGGGATGTATCAACTGAGGACCTTAGTGCTAGTTCATACGGACAATAGACGAATTTTATTGGTGCTCAACTCCTGTTGGTAGAATCACTGATGTGGAATGTCTCTGTTTCTTAGTGCTAAGGAAACGGTCAGGCTCTTTGGAGATTAGCTGTGCATCAAGCTAATTTGTCACTGAAATGATTCCTTCAAAAACTCACTCGATCTACGTTCAAACCCGTGAATACATGGACCACAATGTCGTTCAACATCAGCAAACACATTAGTTGATTCATCGAGTGGCCCTGATAGTGAATCTTTTCAGTAGGAAATCTGTCACGAAGAGTTAAAGAGCACACTCAAACACATTGGAGGAACCAAATAATTTGCATCCGATTACTTTAGATGGAACTCTGGAGGAATGTGGACAACAAGTTTAACGCCAAGGAATTTGCCGAATCAACATAATTATTGAAGGATGAAGTCTCTCTATGCTGTTTTTCTTTTTTGGTGGGTATACTTAAAGAATTTTTGATCGACGATTACAAAGTGGAATCGGAATCTGAATTAGTCACTGTAAAATACGTAGGATCAGTCGAAGCAATTCAAAGCATTCCTTCTCTAGGGAGAAATACATGTGGTAAACATTGCCAGAAATGTCAAGATGTGACAAAGTAAGTTCAAGATACTTGACAGAATCACCTTTGTATGATTATTAGTCAAGTCAACTGAAGTCACCTTTAAAGTGCACTTTATTCATCCATTTCCGGTGGAATTTTCCTTCGGTGTATAGGTCATTAATATGGATTTGAAGAACGCATGAACGCGTAGCAAATGTAGAAAATTGCAGCACGACCAATCGAATGAGGCTGTGTATCAGTTTGTTTGATACTAGTTCCCTGGAAACCATTAAACGAGCAAGTCAAGCTACAACCGAATTCTGAGATGCTGCGATGTTTGTGTATAAATGTTTGAGTTCATTGCAGATGACATAAGCGGAAATCGAGCATAAGAGGGCTGAGTGTGAAGCCTGTGATACATCAGACAAAATGGAGTCACACATATGGTCACAAATCTTAGGGTTTTGATTGGAAAAATGGTCGACCAGCGCCACTCAAGGGATAACTCCATGTCTAGAGATGCTTTCCAGAGAACTTCTCATCAGCATGAAATCCTTATACAATTGACCGGGAAAAAAAAGGAGGAGCAGTAGGCCCAATGACATGAGCGCCCGGGAAAATAAATTTAGAATTAAAGTACAATGACGCCTTCATATGTCGAAAGCGTGAAATTTAAAGGTTAGCTTTCTAAATCAAGGAATATTTGTTGTACGTGGTAGGAAACTTTGAGGTCAACAGACGGAGACATTCAAGGTATTGGAAATATTATGACCTTTCTGCGTTTAAATTGTTGAGTAAGATGTTGGGAACAGATGATCCGGAAAGTCTCGATTGCCTACGAATAGTGGGAAACAAAAATGCAATGCGTGTTTTGGTTTAAAGAAAAGTTGACACCA